AGAGGGCGCTGTGGTGATAGAGAAGAAAAAGAGCCTGCCTTCTTCACAGCACCTGTCAGACCAGGTCAGGACACAGGGGATATGGGGAAACAGAAAGCGTGGGGTGTTGTCAGACAGGGGCTCATAAGGGCTAATAGGGGAGAACAGACTGGGGTGGGGGCTGAATGGGAGTGGAGGCACAGGGCTACAGGGGGAGGGAGGTGCAGGGCCACATAGTGATGGAGGAGTGGGTGCAGAGGGTGGCTGGGTGGGGGCACAGACACATGGGGACAGGGGGAGTGGTCCAGGGCCACATGTGGATGGGAGGAGTGGGTGTCTGAGTGGGGGTGGAGAGGCTAGGGGTTAGCTAGGGTCTGCCTGGGGAAAGCTCCCTAACAGTCCCTCCCCACCCCCTCCTTGCCCCCCAAAAAACATGTGCCATACTTTTCCCACCCGTACCCAACAACCCTCCAAGTTCACGCTAAGGCTCCTTCCCAGCAATTACTTCCCTCTCCCTCAGCTCCTCCATTACCCCTGACTTCCCGCAGCCTTTGCACTGCTTCTGAGGGATGCAGGAAATATGGTTTTATATTGTAGCTTAAATGAATTATTACTCAGAGTTCTCTATTAAGATGCCTAGTAAGGAATCTATTTGTCAAAAAACATTTTCTGAATCTTTTTTGTTGTTTCTATCGTTACCGACATACTTGCTGACAGGTATTTTGAAATAAATGACCAAAAATAATTGAAACTGGTGTGATTATATTGTGTGAGTCTGACAAATAAAATATGCAGCATTTTGCAGAAATTGAAAATAGTGTGCGCAGAATTTTTAATTTTTTGTTGCCGATTTTTAAATTTTTTGTGCGGAATTTCCCCAGGAGTAAGGCATGCAAGTGGCATAGTATAGCTCTTGTACATAAATGATCAGAGATTAATATTCTCTCTAACTTCAGAGAAGCAGCCCAGCGACTGCATGAGGGGAAATCACACATCCTCCCACAAAGGAAAGAAACCTTTTCAATCTGAATAGCACATTTAAGAATCTGTTAAATATGGGCCAATTAGTCACTGGTGTAACTATTAGAAGCAATGGAACTACCCCAGGGATGAATTTGGCCCACCACCTTTGCCTCAATCTCGCATTATAACTAGAAATTTAAAATAAAGCCCCTTGCCCTTAAAGCTGATAGAGGTGCTTAGCCTGCTCCCGTCTTCCATACACCAAATCACACCATAATGAAATGCCAAGTTTCTACTTTAATTGGTCCCATAAATATCAGGTACTTACACCTTTATGGCACCATTATATTTATTCAATTCTATGCAAAAAACAAAGATTTTTTTTGAAACTGGGTTTATACTTTCTTCTTCTTCAAAAAGCCTGAAATGTTGCTGCTCCATCCCCAACCCCCCTAAGTTAAGGTATTTTTTTACTTTAGAAAGAAACAGAAGTGTCAATTCTGGTCTTCCATGACTTTGCTAGCCAATGCCAAGGCTGTCTCAGGCATGGATTAGGAGATCTCACACCTTAACTAAATGGGTAAACAGTACTACAAAAATCTTACAGACATGGCGTCTCCCAGAAATGTGAATTAGCAACTGAAGTTAAATAGGTGCCAGCAAAAACAAGGGGTGAAAAAAAGGATTTTTTTTTTAAACCCTAAGATTTACTCTGCCTTCACAATATAAGGCAGGCAAATTTCAGGAGCTGTTTTGAGTAGATCTAGAGAGAAAATAACTACCTAGTGTTTAAAATAAAGAAAAGAAAAATTAAAATGTAGAATTAACTGGCCTTAACTGAAAAGCGAGGCATGCAGTTTGAGAGACCAAAAAGGCTCCTAAATGTGGTCCTAGCACATGTCATATTTGGAACTCAACATTAGGAAATAACCTTAACTACAGAATTGCTTTGGACAATGTACTGGCATCCTCCCTTTCACAACCTAAACATTCCCCATTTCATTTGGTCTTTTGACCACTCATGCTACCAGATCAGAGTTCATTCTGTAAGTCTTTTTAATGGGAGAGCTCATTATTTCCCCACATAAAGTTGGTGTAGGAAACAGAGTTAAAAATATACCTAATGCATGCATAGAGCAAAGGGTTGTCCTCCAGTCACAATAAGTAGATTAGTACAGACAAGTAAATGCTGACATTGCTAGTTAAATACATTATGATCCTGTTCAAAACCAGGATCTTAATTTTCCTAATTCAGATAGACCAGTGGGGCACACTTGAAAGAGGTTTCAAGAGCCTGATACATGCAAAGTGCATATTCTTTTACGAGTACAGAAAGATAAGTCCCATTATCAATGTAGAGAGAGCTATTTCTGTGAGTTCTTTTTATGACACAAGTAATATTCCCACTACCTGAGAGGAAACCCTACCTCCCCCCACTCCCTCCCACACACATCCCCCTTTTAACCTAAACTTTAGTCATAAGGAGCACATGCATAACCTAAACATAAGGAGCACATGCAACTGCAAACTAGGTTTGCATGCATAGTAACAACTATGCCACAAGGGGCCCGTTAAATTCAGAACTGACAGTTTGCCTGTGTAAATACTCAACTTGCATACAGAATCACAATTGTGCACATACCAAATAACTATATATGCATTTTCAAAGAGAGTCAGACACTTAATCTTATGGAGTGGGAGCACAGTTCCAAGAGACACTATGGCTAATGGGGCTAATTGTTAGTTGCTCATTCGACTTGTTTTATTTTTTTTTCTTTCCTGTGATCTTACATTGCTTTTCTTTTGAGTCTTTGGTCTCCCTTGTCAGTGAGGAGCCCTAAGTTTAGACCCTTACAAATTAATCAGTCTCAACAGGAACAGTTTTTCCTGATGAAATCTATAGTGTAAAACTTTTTTTAAAAAAAAAAAACCCTAGTACTGTGCTTTGGAACATCTTAGATCTTTCAGCGTGTCACATTCTCCTGGATGTTAGTTTTGTTTTACTGTGCTGGTATGTGTTTTAAATGACAGGAACCTATACAGACAGACCCGGTACAAGTTTATATAGCATGTACAATAGAGAAGAGATGGAAAAATTGTATTCTGCCAAGAACCACCACATCTTATCAGTTACAGACAGGAGGCTCTGCCTGAAGAATCTATTTAGGGACAGTCACAGGAACAGCAGATGGGAAGGGACAAATCACCCAAGCAAAGAAAGCAGGGAAGTGAGGGGAATATTTACAAGTTATTAAATGTTTCTAGATTATATCAATACAGGAATATTGAAGACTGATACCACTCTGCTTCACTAGCCCCAGTGCCCTTCCAAGGAACAATGCTGAATACCTAAGTACTTTTCATCCATCTCTCTCAAAATTACAAGGGTAGTTAAGCATTCCCCTTGGTTTACACAGATAGGGAAACTGCGGCAGCAAGGTTAAATCAATAGCCCAAGGTGATACAAAGTCAAAGAGCTGGTAATGAACCCGGCTCTTTTTGACTCAGAGTTTGGATCCCACTGCCTTCTCTTTCAAACACATGGAGATATGGAATTTTAAACATTTAGCTTCTTTCTATAATCTTTTCTTTAGTGTTCTCCTCTCTTCGGCTTTCCAAGATCAGCTTCCGCACCTGGCCTCAGCTTTGCTTGGGTACTGATGAAGTCCTAGGACATTCTCCATCCTTCCCTCATGCCATTTAAAATGTTCCAAGAGGAACTGGAACTTGCAGAGAACTACAAAACATTCTTCTACCTTAACCAATAGCCATCTTTAAAAATAAATGGTAGACATACTTCAGCCGATGGTAGCCAATGTAGCCCGCTTAGATACTGGTATTAGTTTTGTGTGTGTAAAACCCAATGAAGGCTGGACTTCTACATGTGTAACAGGATGAATCACCAACATATTCTACACTAGTTCTAAAAAAATATTAGTGAGGTTACAAGACCTGCATTTTTGTCCATAAAAGACTTTATAACTGTAAGTTCAATGGACTGCTTGTGGATAATGGGGTTTAAATGATGAACAGAGGTGAGCATTGCTGTGGATAGGCAACGTGGGGGTGATGAGAAGGTCTTGATATATAGCTTTCTAGGTAGGGTCAGCGGATCCCTGTTTTTAGCTCCAATTCTCTGAATTGTGTCATAGTATTCTGGTTTGTGAGGGGGTCTCCATGGGCCACGCCAGGCCACCCTCATTGGCCAAGTGCGGGTTTAGTACACCCCGTCATTCAGTTCTCAGGATTCCTTGCTAATTCAGGGAGTTGCAGCCAGGTGGGCTCCGGTTCCCGGGAAGGGCCGCGTAAACAAACAGTCTATGGTCCTTGAGCTTCCAGGGCTGGGACCAAGAGCAAACAGCAGTCATGCCTACTGGCCTGCGGTAGGGGAATCCAGCCCCTCCAGCTCCACCAGGTTCCAACCCAGGGTCCTAGGAAACAGGGGACTTCCTCACTAAGGGTTTAGGCATCGGCTTCTACTACCTCCCCTGGTTCACTTCCTACCACAAATGGCATCCCAGGCATCTCCTCAGCTGGTGGTGGCCTGGCGTCCCCGTCAGTTTCTGCCATTGGCAAGTCATCTGCACTGTAGTCTGGGTTCACAGGCTCTGCTGCTTGGAGCATCCTCAACATCTCTGGAGGAGTCTACAGTACACATCCTTCCTCCTCCGCAGCCAGCCCTAACTGAGCTGGGCTGCCTCTTTTTATTTTGTTCTTCCACCTGGAGCATGTGCAGCAGGGGAAAGGGGGCACGGCCTCCTGGGCTAGGGTGACCAGACAGCAAGTGTGAAAAATTGGGATGGGGTGGGGGGTAATTGGAGCCTATATAAGAAAAAGACCCAAAAATCGGGACTATCCCTATAAAATCGGGACATTTAGTCACCCTATCCTGGGCCCACGATTGGTCCATCCCCGTTGGCCAAGTGCAGGGTTCTGTCCTGTTTTTTTATCCTATTTTTTAATTCTGAAGTCTGCAACTTTAGAACAGCTACAACACAAGTACAGACCAGCTGCAAGAACCTTCACGTAAACACAAAATCACAAGGAGATGCTTACAATTCAGTAATACAAGGCCACAAAGTTCATTTCTTTATTCCCTTCACAGACAGAAGCTATCCCATAAATGAGAAGCATTGTTCAAACAAAACAGAGTTGTCTGTTAAGTCACATCACCATTCACAAACTTGACTAAGGTTTAGACAGCTGTAAAAACAGACTTCAGTTTTTCTGGATTAATAAGTGAAACATGGAATTTTAAAAGGAGGGTAATGAATTTAATTCAGACATCTTCTGTAGCTAAGTTACCAAAGCTGGAAGGGGGAGGGGGCAGTAAAATGTTGAGTACTTTTATCCAGTGCAAGTCAAAGGCTGAAAGTACCATTTTTCAAACCATAATGCCATAATCCAACCAAAAATCAATAATGAAACAATTAAAGGCCATGCATAGCATAATAAAGAAATCAACCACTGCACATTCAAAATGCAACTGGTTATTTCTTACACAGCCACAGACAGGCATCTTCATGCAAGTGGGAGGAAAAAATCCATCATCATACTCGGATACAAAAAGAAAAGGCAAAGCTGCAGAAACAAAACTGCAGCTGCTTGACATAAGCAAGACAGGAAATTACAGCATTAACATTCCAATGTGAAGGCTAGATGAAAGGTATTAGGAAAGCTAATTCTGGAATGTCAGGTGAAACTCCCTATTGACCTACAAAAGGAACCAAAGTGAAAAAGTGGGGTTTTCTGTATACGGCCCACAGCTGCTATTCCTGGTTTAATGCAGCCTACCCATCTCCCCTTAGATTAAGCAGAAGCAGTTCATTCCTGGAGCACAAAGGGCAGTTTTAAATATATGCAGTACAAACACCACAAAAGCAAAATGTATTATTGATTTAAGACAGGTAGTCCTTCTATGTTAAATGTTTTTCCCAGAAAGGTACCTAACCACACAACGGGAGGGTGGGAGGAAGAGAAGGACTTCTAATGGGGCTATATCTACTTTTTGTAGAATTTTAATGATCTTCAGTCAGGGAACAGAGGTACAAGCAATTCATAGCAGAGCCTTCCTCACACAGGACCTCCCTCTGCAAAGGGAGATTTGCCACAAGCTTCAACAGGAACAAGAGCAAGCCCTTAAGGGGCGGTGGATTAGTTACCCCCCTCCTACCCCCAAAAGTGCAATTCTGTAGTAATCCTAACTTGCTCATTTTTTGTTTACTACACTGATGCTGTTGGATCATATTAAAGAAGTTCTGTATTAAAATCACAAATGAGTTTAAATTCCAGAGTATTACTAATTAAGAGGTCTCTTGGTTTTTGGTCTCTTGTTTTTACTGTTTCTCTCCCTCTCTGTGTGAAACATGCAAGCTGCTAATTGTGTTAGTACATCCTAAGACAGAGTCCAATCTCAAAGCAGTACTTTGTAACAACAACTACTCACACAGAGAGAGACTCAAAGCAATACTTTGTAACAGAAACAGCACACAGAGACTCCCTGCCCTTTTGTTGTATTTATCTCGCTTTGTTAACAACTGTGATTAAAATACAGATAGAAGATGTATGTGGATGGATGCTTGATGTGGATAATAACTGAATGATCAGGGAGGTACCAGCCTAAGAATCCAGTGTCCATCGGCTGAAGGAGGGGTCAAGTGGAAACAACCAGAGGACAGACTGAAATCCACCCAACAGCCTCAAGGATGGGAGAACCGAAGAACACAGAGCCGTCAGAAATGTGCCATCTGCTGATTGATTCAGCAACAGCATGATGAAGCAATTCCCATAGACTTGCATAGGAAGAAATTCCTATAAAAATGGACTCTAGAAAGTGAGAACTTTGGGGTCTGATTCTGCAAACCAACTTCCAGGAGCGTCAGATGTGCATCTGACAAGGCCCTGCTCCCTCCTCGTGTCCAGGCCACCTGACCAGTGGCTTGGCACGAGCAACTCTAAGGCTGGTAACTATGATGATAACCTTGCAGAACTTGTGTGTGTGAATAAATATGAGATTGAATGGAATGTTATAGCTATAACTAACTGCTTACTATGATTCTTTCTGTATTCACAATAAGATCCTGCTGGTTTTTATTTTATTGGTATAACAATGCAACTGCTGATTTGACACCCCTCCCCACACACATACCAGTCTGAATACAAGTGTATCCAGAAACCAAATTCTGTAAAGTTCCAATCTCCTTAGCTAAATTTTCGCTGTTTTTCACTGCAGTAAACTGTGTAAGAGCCACACTCAAGGTAATAAAATGAAGTGATGGTATGTGGGACCACCATGGGAAGGATGAGTCATCTGGATTGCAAGTACAAATATAACAAGTTTATGATTGCTGTATTTAATAATCTATTACATATACACATTCCTAGGACTCACCACCCTCTTACATAGGTGCCAATATTTATATAATTCCATAAATGTACACAGTATGTTACATAGTATACAGTGTAGCTATATATAGTAGAGCAGTAAAGATGGAATTTTTCAGCTATTCCCAGCCTCCTGTACTCCATGAACAAGATTTATTTCCACAAAACTGACAAGTGTTTTAAAAACTGAACAAGAGAACTTAATACATACAGCTATTGGATAATACAAAAAAAACCTACAGTCCGTAGCATTCTGCAGGTTAGATGGAGGGGTGCACTTGTACCAGAATGAGTAAAGCAAAGAAAGATCAATGCATTTCCTGAGAAGGCAATTTAATTTAGAAACTGAGCCTACAATATGTAAGAATTGTGGCTAAAATACAGAATGTGGGGAACTATTTTTAAGCAGATGAATGGACTAAGTCACTGTCATATCATATTTCCACTAGGAGCGAGACAAACTGACAGGTGAACTTCACAAGAAGGCACCTGACAAATGTACACACAATTTAACAAAAGGTGGCAAACTTATTTTTAAATCCTCAACTAATGCAACTTTAAAGCTCATAAAAGCTTGTATGAGATTTATAACTTCAGGCACCACAGAGAGGAATGAACATTTTGTATGAGTGACATTAATAGCACAATTCCAAGGAAATCCACAGGATGTGTCACTGGCATTTTAAAAATGAATCAGAAAACAACAGGTTATAGAATGCCAGATAATAGTCTTAATTTTATATTAACTAGGGGAGATAAAGAGAAACTCATCCTAGGAAGCCTCCTTTACTCCAAAATTATAATTTAAATACAGAGTAAAATATAGCCCTCATTCCTACAAGCAATAAGGATGACCAGCTACAGCAGTTAAGGCTTGAGGTGAAGCTATGTCTAAAGTTACAGGCAGATATTAAAGGATGGATAAAAGGTAGCAGTAGCTATTGGTTTGTCACTTAAAGAATGATTTCAAGCAATTTTCTACTCTCTACTTAACTTCCCATCTAAAGCTGCCACCACCTTAACTGTGCTTCCATTCTCTCTGCTCAACTGATTTATTGTACTAGTGGTAGATTTCGGTGTGAAAGTTTTAGAGCCAAACCAACTGTTTTGTAAATTTTATATTTTAAACCAACAACAGCTGAGAGATGTATTAAAAATTTATTTCAAAACATTCAGGGCCTCCGGTGACAACTGGTTGTCTGAGCATGTTCGAGAGCACCATTATCAACAGCATAATTTTGCTCGGATTATGGTTTTAAAACACTGGCATATTCTGTAATGAAGAGTCCTCAAGTCAAACCCAGGGGGCAAACAAAGATTGCTACTGAAGAAAGTTGTAACTATGCTCCACTACTGAACTTTTCAAGTAGAAGGCAAAGAGCCACCTGAAATGGATGCAGTTTCCACAAGGAAAGGGTCACTTCTGGCAGAGTGTTCAGAAAAGTGGTTTTAATGGTTCTTAAAATACAAAAGATAGGATTTTTGTTTTCTATTCTACTGTCTTTCAAAAAATATTTCAGTGAAGTACAAAAGTTGAGCCTTTGGTCCACCCTCCATGACACAGGCATACCGTAACAAACGTCAGTTTTCTTCACATCGACTTGCTGGGGTTTCCCATGTCTCCTCATCTATATAGTGAATCATCTGTGATGCCTGACTGATAGCTGCTTTTTCACTTTGAGCTATAAATAATGCATCTTGTTCTCCATCTGCTAATTGACGGTCAGAGCTATAAGAAACATTAGATCCATCAGGTCTGTCCGTCAAAAACTCCGCTGCAGCTCTAGAAGCCTGTCCACTGTCAGGTTCAGCGACTGGTTCTGTCTTTAAGTGAAGTCCAAACATGTCATTTCGGGTGATGTATCGAACACACTGCAGAATCACATTCCTTTCGTGTCTTATGTCCTGGGCTAATAACTGGAATGAAAAAGAGAAAGTGACGCAGGCTTCTGTCTCCCGAGTCAGTAACAGATGCAAACTAAACAGGTATGGTGGCATAGTTAGTTAATTTAGATGTGTTTACAAATGTATATAAAAGATTTGCAAGCAAGACCTGGAAGCAAAGAGGCAGGAGAAACTATCCTGTTAGGTTGAATTCAGGACTTGGAGCCAATCTCAGTTACCGCTGATTTACTGTGGGGCATTGGCAAAGTCAGAGAATTATCTGTAAAATGGGATTGCTTTCCAGAGATACTGCAAGGCTTGTAACAGTGATACAGTGTTTTGGAAGTTTTAATCAGTATGCAAACCTTATGACCCTGATTCAGTAAGGCACCTTTTTTCCCACTGACTTCAAACTGGATAACTCACATGCTTTAGCACTTTGCTGAATCACAGGGCTAGAGTTTTATCACTGCATTAGAGCTGGCTGAATTTGACAAAATCCTTTTGAATAAGCTGTCATTCCCAGTTTACCTACCTGGCAGAAAAATTAGTTAATACATCCAAATGCCATGTATTTTCTTTTCCCCCATGAAAAAATTAACAACATTTCTTCACTAGACTGCTGAAGGCATTATTTTCTTTGAACTCCTACTGATGCTTAGAGAAAGTTAAACGAGTATTTATACAACAGTTGGAAGACTGTAGGACATTTTTAGGGGTTGTGAACACTAGAAGTAAATGGACTGCTGAGTAAGATGTGAGTATAAAGTAGGGGGTTAAATCTGTGACTATCTGATCATTTACAAGAGAACTACTGTAAAAAGTTGCACTCAGCTGAACTTGGCATGTAAGATCTGATGGGAAGCAATTTTGTGCTATAAATTTATTTCCAACAAAGATGTCTATTTAGCCAGTTAACGGGTGTTTGCTATCCAGGATAGCTTTTTAAAAGACTTGCAGGCAGTTAGACCATAAAATGAACTAGTTACACTTTTTGATATTTACCTACACATAAAATTTTTGGTATGATTGAAGGCAGTTCAGCGAGTGGAGCTGATTGTAATCATTACACGCACACACACACAGACACACACACAGGGGGAGGACAATGTAATAACATTCTTGTTGGGGTAACTGCAGAATTCCCGAGTGGTGGCAGGAAGAAGCAGATGGGACACACAATCATCCTTTAATAAAGTTTGTTAACTCACCATCTGTCACATTATATTTAAACCATATGAGCAACTAGATGCACATCACCTTTTTATCCTGCTGTATATATTGACAGATCTTGGAAGAAATATAACGTATGGCTTTTGTTATTCTCAGTCAGTCTGTATGCTATAGATGTATCTAAACATACATTGTCATATGTGGGACTATGATAAACATCCTTGGAGTACTGAAGCCGATTTACTGAATGCCAACAGATCTGCTTTTAAAAAACCACATCATTTCACACACAGCACATTCTTTCAATAAGCAAATCCCTTGGGAGGGAGGGGGTGGACAGGTTTTCTAGAGACTTTCTGACTTGGTTTCTCAGAATTTTCACGCCACAGACCACTTCCTACAGTGGCAATCCTCTTCTGGATACCTCCCATCACAAACACCCACTCCAATCTACATTTTTCTTGCTACAGCCACAGTGATTAATGTATGAACAAGTAATGTTAGGACAATATGAAAGTGAGAAGACAAAAATAAATATGCTTTACAATTAAACGTCTGTTCCATCCAGCTAAGATCCTCAGCCCACATATTATATCTATGCAGTTTATTCCTTCTCTCTGGCTACAGAACTTGACATTAGTAGCCAGTCCTTTTTTAGGCACAGTTCTTGCTGTTCTGATCCCCAAGGCGCTTTATAGATTGGTTCCATCCTCAGCATTGCCACACCTCCAATTTCAGTATTGCTTGAAAGGAACCAGGGTTGTTTTTTTTCCCAACCTTCCTCTGCAGCATGGGGCAATGATCGCCTGTTATGTCCAGATGATCCTATCTCACCTAATCAATTCCCTGCCATTGCAGAGAGGCCTTGGGTATTAGTGGCACCTCAGTCTCTCCTATTTTTCTCTGCCTCTGGCACACAACAATTTAGTACCTGTAATACACGTGAGGACAGACTAGATGATTGAATGGTCCCTCCTGGTCTTAAACTCTATGAAATGACACAAAAAGAAAAGGAGTACTTGTGGCACCTTAGAGACTAACCAATTTATGTGAGCATAAGCTTTCGTGAGCTACAGCTCACTTCATCGGATGCATATGACTTTATGCATCCCATGAAGTGAGCTCTAGCTCACGAAAGCTCATGCTCAAGTAAATTGGTTAGTCTCTAAGGTGCCACAAGTACTCCTTTTCTTTTTGCGAATACAGACTAACACGGCTGATACTCTGAAACCTATGAAATGACAGTTTGATCACAGCTGAATCTGCCAGAGAAATGTAAAGAGCAACTGTGCTGGATGAAAGATTCATTTATTTATTTTATTGCTTAAGTTTAGCTGATCAGAATAGCCTCTGCATACCCCCGACTCATCCTCAGCTAGAAAGAAAAGTCATAACATGAAGACTGACTGCTTTGGTCAAGGAGGCTTCACCTAAATCTTCAGAACACCAGTGATATATCACTGAATCACTGTTTGTGAATCACCGAAAATTATATTTCTACATAGAAGAGGTCTGTGTGTGCAGGAGGGAACCATAGAATCATAGGACTGGAAGGGACCTTGAGAGGTCATCTAGTCCAGTTCCCTGCACTCACAGCAGGACTAGGTATTATCTAGACCATCCCTGACAGGTGTTTGTCTAACCTGCTCTTAAAAATCTCCATTGATGGAGATTCCACAACCTTCCTAGGCAATTTATTCCAGTGCTTAACCACCCTAACAGTTAGGAAGGTTTTCCTAATGTCCAAATGAGGAAGAAGGAGAGAAGAGGGTTGGATAGGATGCCTGATGTTCCCTGACAACCATTCTAGCTGATTAGAGATGTGTGTTGATGGGGCACAAGGCCACCATCCAGCCTGTCCCACCCAGAAGCCTGGTGATCACCACCTCGCTCAATGTAGGGCCTCACTTCAAGAGGGGTAGAGGGAGGGGAGAAGAATGGGATCAGAATAACGACTGGACCACATAAAAGCAAACAGGATTCATAATGTGCATCTTGTTTAGAGCAAAAAGAAAGTATCTTTTTTGCCCTCAGTGTAGCTTCCTAACTATGTGATTAAGTTTTCAATTCTGGCTCACCAAAGCAAGCTATAATCTGAACAGTACCACGCAGTAATCTGTTTACATATTTGTGCAACATTTTTGCTGAACTGCATGTTCATCCAGCCACTACCTTAAAAGAGCTGCTGCTAATATAGACAGATTTATACTGTAATATGACTCATGTGTAGTTAAAGTAAGACCCTTGTGTGGCAGGCAGCCATTATTTAAGAGACAGAGGTCCTTTACCATTTCCAGCAGTGTTGGACGACGTTTGGGCAGTACAGGGAGCGACTTCTTCCTCCGTCTGTCAGAACCTCTGCAGTGCCCTGTGTTTGTATTTGAGCTCGCCAACGTTGCACTTGTAAATTCTGCACGTTCCTTGCGGTTTATACTGTTTGGACTTTGAGGGATATTTGAAGCCTGAGGGATATTTCGGAGGATAGTCTGATTTTCCTTAAGAGCTTTTGCTACAATCTTGGCAGGAACTTCTATAAAAAGAAAGAACAAAACTGTGAGCTCTCAAAGTCCTAAAGGTCTCAATAACGATCACAGATCTCAATACCGACAGCTCACCTATTTACTACTACTGGTACTAGCATGCCCTGTTTTAATGATCATAGAGTTCTACAGAGGAGGGAATCTTATCACCATTCCCATAAGAGAAAACAAGCACACAGAAGTTAAGTGACTTGCCCAATATCAGAGAGCCAGCAGAGAGAGTCTGGATCAAAACTCGGGTCTCTGTCTTGCAATCAATCCCATGTTCTATACATTAGAGCACACGGCTTCCATTTTATAACCCAGTTTGCAGTGAAATACATGGACAATAAGGATGGCGCCATGGTTAGGTGCTAGCCTGTGACTTGCAAGATCCAAATTCAGTTCCCTGCTCTGCCACAGACTCCCTCTATGACCTTGGGCAAGTCACTCAGTCTCTGCGTCTCAGTTCCCGGTATGTAAAATGGGTGGTCATAGCACTTACTCCCTCGCCAGGGTGAGATGAGGAAAACTACGTTAAAGATTATGAAGTGCTCAGGTATTACTGTAACGGGGACCATGGAAGGAATGAGCTCTGCCTTAAATCAGAATGTGCACTCAATCTCCAAGCACTACAAGAATCTCTAGTGGTAGCACCCTTATGTGGAAAGTACTAGAAGCTTGGATATTAGCTCAGAGAGTGAGTGACAGCACCTTCCTGGCCCTCTTCACCAAACACAATTTTAGGGTAAGGATTTTAAGGCTGTTTTTTCCCCTCACATACATTTCTCCAAAAGTTCTACATCCTATCCAAAAAGAGAATTTATCTCCACCTTTATCTCAGAATAAGGTGGTAGGACAGGACACATAACATGGGGGGGAGAGGAGGGAAACAAAACAAGAAAAACAATATTGTGAACCTGCCACCCTTTGAGGAAACTCTGGAATGTAGTATAAAAAAGGAATGATCATTAATAGACAGGCTATGAACTAGATAAATCAGAGGTCTGATCTTTTAGGCAATTCTAATGTTCTCATTCGGTGAATCCTTGGTATACAAATGGTACAATGTGGCTGCTACTGCATATAAATAATGAGTGGTCTCTCCCCCAGGGAGTAACAGTTGCTCTTAGAGTAGCCTGCTGGGTTTTCCCATCCTTCCATTCATCCCATGTTACCTTTTTCATCCTCCATTTGTGTCTGTGTTTGTATGAAGTACACTGAAAGCAGACAGCGCTGCAAGCAAAACAGCAGAAAACCTTGCCCCTCAAGATACAAAACATTTGACCTTTAACACACGTATTCCCTCACTGCCTAACAAGCTACAGTGGCAGATTCAAGGCTGCTCTCAATTACTCCACCAGCAACCAAAGGTGCCAGGAACCAGGATGTTTTCCTGCTCATGAATACCCTGGAAGTAGAGCCAGTTATTGTTGTGTTTGCGTCTTTGGTTAGATCTAAGAATGTAAGTCTCTGAATATAAAAAACTGCAAATTTATATATTCATAAATGAGGACAAGACTACGGGAAGAGAGATGGCAGGAGGGGGACAGAAAGGCAGGAGAGGGCAAGGTGCCCGCACTATATGCCACCTTCCTTCTCAGATTGATCTTTATACAGAGACAAAATGTCTTTTCTGGTAAACTTTGAATGCTTTCGCTGATCACAAGAGAGAGGGCGAAAAAAGCTTGTTAGGCCCCAACTCACCCTCTGGCTCGCTCTCGGATGTGCTGCCATAGTTGGCCACCAGTGAACTCAGGGCAGAGGTTACCTGCTTCGGAATGACAGTCACTCCCAACTTTGCATCCTCTGCAGTTGCTCCATCCTTGTCTGACTCTGCAAAGAGAGTACCAAGACCTTTCAATGCTCCTAGATGTTGACAGCCAGCTTTGTCACCAGATCTTCTCCTGGAGAATATACATCTGATACTGGACAAGGTTATTCAACACCACTGCTTGATAAAATGCATGCTACTTTCTTTCCATTAACATTCAGGGGCAGGAGTTGTCTAACACTGATTTATAGCCCTGACAAAGACTGTAGCGGAAAAAACAGTTTGATTTCTCTGAACAAGGACTTGGGCTTTTGGCTCCATCTTCATATAGAGAATTTAATTACAGGCTTTGCTATTAATTGAATATAGAGAGGGAGAAACTTGTTTAGATTTCCTGGATGTAGCTGGGTGATAAATATGTGCAGAAATTAATCTTTTACAGGGGGAAGAGTTATTTACATTTAAAATTAGAATTTCCAAGGGGAAGAAATTTTGAGATTGCGAAATCACTCTAAGGGACATTCATATCAAGCTTATAAGACTATGGCAATGAAATCTCGGAGAATTTGAATACTTAAAAATATGTATTTAGCACCATCTGTATGCATGCTGCTTTAGCGAATAAAGAGTTTATAATCCAAACTGTTCACGATAACACAGAATGCCAGGGACCTAAGATACAGGATAAATGGACCAACAACTTATGAATAGCTGCTAGTGGGCAAAAGGGAAAAAATCTACTAAAAGCATCCCCAAGTAAACAATTCAAATCACAGATAAATTTAATGGGATGCAAAGGTACATGTACCATGACACACCATTTCCTTTGGAGGCATCACAGATATGTGATGTGGGCATTTAACCAGAAGGCTAATACAAGTCAGTTCTTTTGCATGAAACCTACATGGAAATTTTTGGGGAAAAAACATGCAAAACCCTATTGGTAACATTATTAGAAAGGTCTCTGTTGAAACTTTTTGTGGAAGCCTGGTTCAATTACAAGAATTAAAGAAACACTACCTGAAATCAGGATTTTGTAAAAATTGTATTGTATTGCCTATGCATTAACCCCACATTAGATTATTAAACATGAAAATTTACAAAAAAAAAGTTTGTCACTATTTTTGTTTTACTTTTTACATTTCACTCACCTTAAGACAATGAAGTCAGTTTCACTTTTAGATTCTCGGAACAGCAGAATTTGGTTTCAAACATAAAGGGACTTTCATTTTTTTCAAAAGCAATATTTTTGTGTGGAAACCTTTCTATTCCTTTGTTTTTAAATCAAAGTTTGTTTGTACAACAGTTAATTCTGGACCAAATTTAAGTTAACACTGCCCCTTGAATCTATTTATTGTAGAACATGTAATACTGTACGCAAACCTCTCCTTGCCAGGGTTTCCAAATCACTGACCAGAAGTACAAAGTTTCAGGATTCTTCTATGGACATTTTATGTTCTTAGCAGGAATTTCCATTCAAAAGGAAGTTCTAATGAAAACCTGGGTATAAGGCTCTTCAGTGAAGCTGGCAGCAACAAATCTATGACCTACTAACCTTTGAATTGCTTTGGCTGGAGTGCAAGAAAGCCCTAATAATGTTTTAAGTGGCAGATAGAAGAGTTGTCAAGTATGACAGAGCACTTATCAATGGCATCTTCCAAACCAAGAGTAAATTCTTTGAAAAGACAAGTTCTTTTCAAGTCACCAGCTCTCCTAAAAAGCTGTTACCTACGTAACATTAATTCCCCCTAAAGTAAAAGATTTCTCCAACCTCCTTCCGTCATCTTACCAGCATCACTATTTGCCAGAATGCCAAGTGGATCCACATCCTTCATACAGGTCTGTGCATCAGAAACAGATTGTTTTTCAGGTTCCTTAACAAATGTACGATTTTCTGGTCCACTAGCTGCATTTTGAGCTTTCAGCAGAGATGCATCATCTCCATCACCTTTCCTAAACTTCTTCCAGAACTGACGCTTCTGCTTCTTCTTCTGTCTTCCTTGCCACCCAGAAGTCTCTTCACCTTGTGGAGCTTTCCACATTCCCTTCATTTTGCTAGAGGAAAGAAAATGTAAAATTCTTACACAAATAACACCACACAAAGTAAATTAAACTAATCAAGGTAAGCCCCCCCCCCCCCCAAACAAATTTTAAAAACCCTGTGTCCTATAGCAGCCAAGAGATTAGAGGAATATTTATCCTTCAATACAACATTTTTCAGCTCTCCCATCTTACGTTGCTCTGCCCTGCTTCAATACTTTAATCCGCCAGTTTCAGCATATTAGTAGCCAAATGCAGTTTACTAGAACACCTATCTACAAGTGCTTTATTTGGCGCTAGTAAGTCTCATTTGGCTACTGGCACAATGAACTGAGACATGACAGAAGGAAGACGAAGCTATGCCGGACACAAACATGGGGGGAGGGGGGGAAAGACAACAAAGAAAGCGAGACAGAGAAATGGAGAAACACACACACACACACCATGGGGGTGGGATAAGGTATGGAGAACTCTTTCTCCCACATTTTGCTTTTATTTAGACTGTAAACTCATTGGGGCAGGAACTGTCTCTTACTGCATGTTTGTACAGTGCCTAGCAGAATAGGGCCATGAACTCAGTTGGAGTGTCTAGGCACTCCTCTAACATAAATAGCAATACTTAACCAATGTTTCACAGGTTAAGGGAGGCTGTGATGCTGGAGGTGCTGTCTTTTGACCAAGACATAAAACCAAGGTCCTGACCACTTGTGGTCACTAAAAACCCAAGGTACTTCTCAAGAACCAGAATTGGATGTCCCAGTCAAATTCCAATTTGGAAACTGCATTCTGCCCTCATCTGCTGGTTCTATTAGCAAATGCATTCTTCACTTCCTGTTCAAAACTACAGCATAACTGTGCAGTATTAACCAGCTGCTACATTCCACCCTGCAGGTAGCTACATTGAAATGACAGGTGAAGTGGTCATCTCTAATCTACTCCAGAGGGATGTTGAGAATTAACATTTGTAGAGCACTTCAGGGGGCCAGAATTCAAGGGTGGTATAAAAGTATCAAATGCTTTTGAAAAATCTTACTTAGCTATTTGCCTCAATAGGAAAGCTTCCAGAAAGCAAGCTGAATCCTCTTCTGTCTCACACATCAGTAAATTTGCAAGAATAAGCACCAGTTCCAGATTGCTATTGTTGACATTCATACCACAAATTACAGCTTTTTGGACAGCAGATTGAGTTTATAGGACTAAAAGTTAGGAAAGAGGCTTTTTAAGAAAGCCAGGGTTATAGAGATCACTTACTGAGAACAAACAGGACACAGTTTCGGTCATTTTTCTGATCACTCTTCTGACCAGGAGAAGTAGGAGATTTAAGTATAATTGCTGAGTGACACCTAAGGGCTGCTGCTGAGTCACAGCTCACTAGTGAAGCCACATGCGGTAAAACAAAAATTATTAAATACCATTGATTTTGTTACTTTGACAAGCCAGACTCACTTTTAACTTCAGTTACTAACCAAGTAGGAGAGTCGCTTAATGTCTGTTTTCATGCATTCAGTGCTTTAAATTCACAACTAATACTAGGAATCAAGCACCTGTTGAAGTGCCCCTGCAATTGCACACTCCTCCCCACACCAGCAAGGAGAATCCCATCTTATTTCTTTAAGAGCAGAGGGCTTTGCTATGGGCCAGAAGAGATGAGTAAAGGCAATCTGAGATGTATCTGAGATGCTACAAGAGATATAAGTGACAGGAGTGGCTTCTGAAGCTTCATCTACATTAAGAATATTTGCAACAGTGGACATTACCAAAATTAGGTTACATTGGTATAAGTCCACTTTGCATTTGTGCAGCCCATCTATATGAGGGATTTGCACAGGCATAACCAAATCAATGTAGTAACACTGGTGCAAGAATTTTTACTGTAGACAACTTCAAGGCCCAAGCCCACTTTCCCACAGCAGAAAGAAAGGTCCACAAAGAGGCAGGAAGGAGTCTGACATAACAAGCTGGGAACATTCTTGCTGCCCCCACTCAGATCCTCTGGTCCACTAAGCCAGACCCTGGAGGTTTGGGAGATTATAACGCCTTTAAAAACACCCTCCCTATAGCAGTATTCAAGCAAAGCCACTGATGAAGCTCAACATGAGGCAGACAGTATGCAAAAAGGTGTGGAGGAAAAGAGCAGAGGCCACACACGTGGAGGTATGGAGAGGGGAAAAACAGATCAGAGTACATGAGGGGAGTGAACAAATAAAATCCAAGAGGAACAAAGAAGAGCCCCAGACGAGAAATCAAGATGAGGCAAGGTGGAAGAGATGAAAATAAGAGTATTGAAGGTACTTTCAGCTACCAAAGCAGTTTACAGTGATAATTAGATAGCTTAGAAACTCAGACAGATCATTCCTTCTTAAGTTTGTTATTATTACTCTGACCCCACCATTTGAAAAATGAAGGCGGGGGGGGGGGAGGGGAGAGGAGGAGAGAGAAATACAATCTATAATCATAAACCAAGTAACTTTTTTTGTTTCTTTCCCTCTCTCTTGCAAGGGGAAGCAGGGGGAGAGTGCATTAGACCAGTCAGATTCAGGTAGGAGGCTAAGTCACACAATGTAACTTCTCTTTCAAAGACTCGGCGTCTATTACTTTAGCCTAATGGCTATTCTGCAACTTGGTTTTCTTAAACAAGCCAGAGAGTGGAAAACTCTGCAAACACATCAAAAGTTGTAAACGTATTGTTTCAACTGGATCAGACTCACTAGTCTGTGGAATACTGTGGACAATGTACTAAATTGGTAACATGTTGGTGGGTTAAATGAAGGATACAAGTGCACTCAGTTTATATACATGTACAGTGAAAGTTACAAGTATTTGCACAAAAGGTAAAAAGAATCAAAGATAGTATTTTTGGACCAACTACTAGAGTGAACAAAATTGTCAGAGAAAGCTTACCCAAACTGCGTAGTTGTCAGCACTTCTCCTCTCTCCTCTTTTTCTTTCTGTAATGCTTTCTTCTTTTCAATGTTGGCCAATGTAGGAAAGTTTCTAGAGCAAATATATATATGTTTGTTTTAAAAATGTTTTACACACCCCTGGTCTAACCCACATTTGCATTATGACCAGCACAGGAAAGATTTAGTTGCATAAACAAAAAAATGAAATATTAAAATCAAATTGTTTCCTCCTGAAGCAGGGATTGGTTAAGAAAAATACATATACCTCTACCCATATATACGTGGGTGCAGATGGACCTTGAAGTGCAGAGCTTTTTACACACATACACACTCTCTATGACAGAATAGGATTCTGCCCTACAATTTTTTATTTTAAGCGCTTCGTGCAATCTAGTTTTAACGGTCTTAAAAGGCACAATATATGTTTAGCAAGATTTTCACATGGAGGATGAGACTGAGTTTCTGCTTATCAGTCTCACTGACACTGGGTTTTGAGATTAAAAAACCCACAAAAGTGTATCACCAAAACAGTCTCTGGATGCATATTCAGCCATGACACTTTCAGTATCTAGCTGTCATTGCTCTGTAAAGCACTTTGAGACAGCAAAAGGCTATACATAATCGTCTAATTCTATTCTGTTCTTTAGGAGAGTAATTCAGGTCATTAACATTTTATAAAGTCTATTAAGATGGAAGAGTGAGAAGCCTAGAACAGCTATACATATATATATTACCAAAAACAGTCTTCAGACCTAAATATTTAGTCTTGTCACACTCAGCTTCCTTTTATTATATATCAGCAAAAGTTAAGTGCTAAAAAGTCACACTGATGCAAGACAAGGTGAAGGACAAGGATGGAAAAAGCAGAAGTGGTTTCTGAAAACCCTGCCTTGAACAGGAACTCTGGTATTAGGAGGTTTTCACCAATCATGCTTAGATTCATGTTTTCATAGAGATTCCAAAGCCAAAAGGGACCACTGTGATAATCTAGTCTAATTTCCTCTGTAACACAGGCCAGAGAACTCCCGCAAATAATCCTGCTTTGAACTAGAAAATTTCTTTATAGAAGCATCGAATCTTGATTTAAAAGTTTCCAGTGATGGAGAATCCACCAAAACCTTTGGTAGCTTGTTCCAATGTTAATTACCCTCACTTACGTACACCTTATTGTCAGTTTGAATTTGTCTAGCTTCAACTTCCAGCCATTGGACCTTGTTATACCGTTGCTAGATTGATGAGCCATTCAAAACACATTCACTGTGCCATTTATTATGAAGAGAGGATTTAAAAAAAAAAATCTTTAAATGTATTGATTGGTAATAGGATATGAAGCCTGTTACCTTCAAAACAGACTAACATGGCTTACCACTCTAAAACCTGTTACTTTCAGGTCACCAGTTCAAGTGCAGCCTAGATTGCTCGTCACCAGAAGTCACAATATGGTGGCTATTCAGTAGCCTATATGCAGAGTAGGCAACATTAATCCAGACCCCAGTGGGAAGGTGCCCACATTTCAAAATCTACAATCACAAATAGCTTCTTTGTTGGCAGAGAGATCAAGAAATGAAAAAGCATAGATAACTACACGCTTATGGAGACAGTCCTTCTAGGTCAGGGGTGGGGCACATTTCTGGGAAAGCTTAAACTTTTGCACATGCTGTACAAATTCTGAGAACTTCAGTGCCCAAGCTTGTCCACAAAGTACCCACACTACAGAGAAATGAATCTTTTTGTTTTTCTGGCAGAGATCTTAAGAACATGAGAATGGCCATACTGAGTCAAACCAATGGTCCATCTAGCCCAACATCATGTCTCCCAAAAGTGGCTGGTGCCAGATGCTTCAGAGAGAGTGAACAGAACAGGACAATTTATTGAGTAATCCATCCCCTATCATCCAGTCACAGCTTCTAGCAGAAGCATGGGGTTGTGTTCCTGACCATCTTGACTAATAGTCACTGACAGACCTAACATCTGTGAATTTACCTAATTCTTTTTTGAACCCAGTTATACTTTTGTCCTTTACAGCATCCCCAGCAACAAATTCCACAGGTTGACTGTGCATGGGGTGAAGTTCCTTTTGTTGGTTTTAAACCTGCTGCCTATTCACTTCACTGGATAATGTCTGGTTCTTGTGTTATGTGATGGGATAAATAACACTTTCCTATTCACTTTCTCCACACCACTCATGATTTTATAGACCTCTATCATATCCCCCCCGTTGTCTGTTTTAGCAGCTGAACAGTCCCACTCTTTTCAATCTCTCCTCATATGGAAGCTGTTCCATACCCCTCAATTTTTGTTGCCCTTCTTTGTATTTTTCCCAATTCTACTATATTGTTTTTTGAGATGAGTAGATCAGAACTGCATTCAGTATTCGAAGTGTGAGCATACCATGGATTTATATAGTGGCATTATGATATTTTCGGTCTTATTTTCTATCCCTTTCCTGATGGTTCCTAACATTGTTAGCTTTTTTGACTGCTACTGCACATTGAGGAGATGTTTTCAGAGAACTAACCACAATGTCTCCAAGATCTCTCTTGAGTGTTACAGCTAATTTAGACCCCATCATTTTGTATGTATAGTTGGGATTATGTTTTCCAATCAACACTGAATTTCATCTGCCATTTTGTTGCTCTGACACACAGTTTTGTGAAATCCCTCTAACTCCTTCCAATCAGCTTTGGACTTAACTATCTTGCATAATTTTGTATCGTCTCCAAACTTAGCCACCTCACTGTTTACCCCTTTTTCCAGATCATTTACGAATATGTTGAACAGAACTGGTCCAGTACAGATCCTTGGGGGACCCCGCTATTTACCCCTCTTCACTGTGAAAACTGACCATTTATTCTTACCCTTTGTTTCCTATCTTTTAACCAGTTAATGATCCACGAGAGGACCTTCCCTCTTATCCCATGACTCCTTACTTTACTTACGAGCCTTTGGTGTGAAACCTTGTCAAAAACTTTCAGAAAAAGTCCAAGTACGCTATATCCATTGGATCACCCCTTGTCCACAAGTTTATTGACACTCTCAAAAAAAATTCTAATGAACTGGTGAGCATGATTTCCCACTATAAAAGCTGTGTTGACTCTTCACCAACATATTGTGTTCATCTGTGTGTCTGATAAATGTGTTATTTCCTATAGTTTCATCCAATTTGCCTGATACTGAAGGTAGGCTTACCAGCCTGTAATTGCCAGGATTGCCTATGGAGCATTTTAAGCAAAACAAAAAAAAAAACAAAAAAACAACACCCAAAAACCTGGCATTACCTTAGGTATCCATCAGTCAGCTGGTACAGAGGCTAATTTAAGTGATAGGTCACATACCACACTTAGTTGTGCTGCCATTTCATATCTCAGTTCCATCAGAACTCTTGGGTAAATACACTCAGGTCCTGGTGACTTATTACTGTTTAATTTATCAATTTGTTCAAAAACCTCTTCTGACAACACCGCAATTTGGGTCAGTTCTTCAGATTTTTCATCTAAAAAGAATCTTGTAAAGAAGCTCAAGTTAAGGAAGACTGCTTCCTGTATATGCGTAAATGCCTAAAAATAAGTCCTATCAAGTCAAGAAAAAGGTGGTTGGGGGGGGGGGGCGGGGAGAAACGCTCCTCTAAACAGAGAGAGTATCTGCACTATGGAGGCATCTCTTCTCTTTTCCCAAGCTGAACTTGTTTTTGATTTATAGACTGCAAAAGAGAAGAATGAGGGGGGATTTGATATCGGCTTTCAACTACCTGAAAGGGGGTTCCAAAGAGGATGGATCTAGACTGTCCCCAGTGGTACCAGATGACAGAACAAGGAGTAATGGTCTCAAGTTGCAGTGGGGGAAGTTTAGATTGGATATTAGGAAAAATGTTTTCACTAGGAGGGTGGTGAAGCACTGGAATGCGTTACCTAGGGAGGTGGTGGAATCTCCTTCCTTTGAGGTTTTTAAGGTAAGGCTTGACAAAGCCCTGGCTGGGATGATTTAGTTGGGGATTGGTCCTGCTTTGAGCAGGGGGTTGGACTAGGTGACCTCCTGAGGTCCTTTCCAACCCTGATATTCTATGACTTAACATTTCTCAGGGCATATGTCCAAAAATTTAGACAAAAAACAGAACAGTTTTTGCCTCTTTTTCAAAGGGTAGCATGACAAGGACATTTTCCTCCCCAACTAATCAACCAGTCAAAGAGAGACTCATAAAACAAGGAAGGGCTTTTAAAAGGTCAGGTACAGTCTCTGCCCAACCAGTGGACAAAAAGCAAACTCCAGTATCTAAGCGCCTAAAATACTCTGTCTATCACTTGGGAAAGAATTGGTCTTGGTAGATTGATTTAAATCAAAGCAATTGAATCACTGATTTTAATCATTATATAAATCTGCAAGAAGGAAGCCTTGATTTAAATAATTGATTTTACCTATTTTCCTAAAGAAGGGCTGAATCTCATTGGTTGGTAAGCATTAAAACATACTGATTTGCAACTATATATAGCCTTTACACTAAATTTGGTGCTTTTTACTAATAAGGAGGAAACACCATACCTACATACATTTTTTAAGCAATTATGTAGCTTACAGGCATTTGTTCAGATTCTTAATTTTTACCTTTTACATTATGTAGAAAATGGCGAATGATCCATTTCTTACTTCCTAGATTAATTTTTTACTTGTAATTTGTGTCAAGCTGTATGTGAATGTAAATTTAAATCCAATTAGAAAAAACCCCCACAAAAATAGCATTTTAAAATTGTTTTTCCATTAGTTAAATAAAACTACCTTAAGTGTGCTGGATTCATAAGAAAAAAGTTAATGAAAAGATGTTTTGCATTTAGAATTAACTGATTTATTAAATAAAATAACTGTAGTTAGCTAATTGAACTATTGTTTCTGGTCACCAGGTCCTTCAAGGTTTCAGAACTAGCAGATCTCAGCCTCTCACACATCATTTTCATTCACAGACTGGAAAAAAGAAACAAGCTTCCCTACTTTTTCAACTCCCAATTACTTTCTTAACTTTGAAAGAACTAATAATTAAATTGAACTAGTTGAATAAACTAAAGAAATATTCTCTCTGCACCTGCAAAAGAGACTTCTGCT